TAGACTCAAGAAGCGTCTTCAGAGCATCAATATCAATTCCAACATGTTGGCCCCTGCCATCACAATTTTTAAAGCTAAAGTCACCTGAACAAAATTTGCTGAACCATCGTTGATACGTTTAAAACATTTCCATAAATTTCTTTGATATTCTTTGGTGCTACAGAGGCATTGTTTCCCTTCTTATATTCAAACAGCATTATGTGCCAAATGTGTGTCTCGTCATGTGCCATCACTACAAGGGATTAGAGTGTACTCAACTTTACACATTATATAAGCTACATTAACGTGACATTTAGGTGGTTCATTTAACTATTGTATAATATGTACATTTTGGGGTGGTGGTGGTTAATGAAAGTGTTCCAAAATGCTACATTATTTTCTTGATGACCTCATAGAAAGTATTTTTCTAGTTATTGTGATATAATGCTTTGCTTTTGGATTATTAGAATTTTACTAGGTTTTAACATTTTAAATATAATTTGAAATACTGCTGAACCAGACATTAATTCTGTTTTAAACTTTGATAGGTATGGAAGCGATTATGTCAGAGTTCTTCAATGATACTACAACAGCTTTCTACATTATTCTGATTGTTTGGGTGGCTGACCAGTATGATGCTATCTGCTGCCATACTGCTATTACCAAGAGACATTGGCTCAGGTATAATGATCTTATATATGTGTTATTTACACCTATTGTATGTAAAACTGTATTCACATTGATGACGTTAGGTAAAGAAACATGCATTGATTCAATAAGGTAATACGTACGCATTGATTATGAAGATAAAGTAACAAATGACTTGTTTACTTTTGTTTGCTTCCAGCTGAAAATTATACATTTTATATGACAAAATTTTGTAATTCTGTTACAAACAACTGCAGAAGAGTCTATTGTAACTCTGCAAGAAGTGATTTGAAATCAATTTTGTTCAATATGAAAACAATTTTTTTTACAAGTACTTTGTTGTTTAATGAAACACTGAATGATCATATACGTGTAAGCAAGTCGTAGCCAAGGATGAGCAAAAGCTATTGATAATTAATTAGATAAAACAGTTGGTCACTAATCATTCTGTGTTATTAGTGGAATTATTTTGATTTGTTTTGAAAATATGTAAGCCATTTGATTCTCTGATCTGGATTTAGGAAGAAGTTATTTTATGTGCTTTAAATTTCAAAATTTTGTAACGTATTTTTTAGTATTGTGACAAAATAGTATTTTTGTGTTGAAGTTGATGCCATAAAATAATTATTATAGTTGCTAACATCAGTAAGTGCAATCAGTAAACTTTATGAATATCCTTCATTTTAATTTGTACAAAAATAGTTACAATATTTAGAGAAATTTAAAATCCCAATAATAGTTGCAATGTTTTTGTTTCTTGTTTCAAAGCCTGTGTAATACCTAGTATCCCAGAGTTCAATTCCTTGTGCATTTTGGCAGAGATATAAAGTTTTAAGTTTGCTTTATGTACAGACCAGTGAAAGGAGTTGTTTGCTCTGATTTTTATGTAGGTATGATTAGAGAAGTAACAAAGCAGGAGTTTAAAATGCCTCCTTTCTTAATGTTCTACAGATTTTTCTATCTTTACCACTTTGCATTTTATGCTTATGACTACCGATTCAATGGACAGTACAGTGGATTAGCTCTTTTAACATCCTGGTTTTTTATCCAGGTAAGTCAGTGAATCAAAATGTTTTCTGAATATTTTTAATTTAGTGTGCAAGTTTGAGAATATGTTTCCATATTTTCTATAAAATATGTTTTATATACATCATTATTCAGGTATGTTCATATACCCCCTGAATGGGCGACTTGTCATTTTAATTCCTAACCCACCACTTCCATTTTATGAGATATACCTGATAACACAGGCCTGTGAATTTAAACTTCATAAAAGTTTTGGTTTTAATAATGTATTGTACATAATTCAGCTATGCAGGTTTTGAAAATAATATTCATTTTTTCTATCACGTAAGGATTTTTTACAAATCGGGAAGGAAAAAAACCTCTTATTTGGATCAAGTTTTTTTCGTTTACCACAAGGAAAACATTTTTTATTATTATGTTTGGATTTCAGAATGATTGATGAGACTCTCATGTCAGGATTGGTCTAGAGAAATCTGTTGTCACCATTTTAAGCATTCCAAATTGTGACCCGATTTCAATGAAAATGATTCACTTATGTAAAAGTACATATTACATTTTGTGAAAAATCTGGATGTGATGGAGAAAAATGGATATCATTTTTGGATTCAGTGTACAGGAATTATTGTAGAACATGTAAAAATTTCAAGACAATAAAACCATCTCAGGCCTATGTAGTCATTCTTCAACTTTCCTGAGATTCTACATCACCAATAGGAGGTGCATTCTTTGTTAAACATTTTACTCAATTTGTCCTGCTCAAAATGTCACTTAATTTTGAATACTCATCCTATTTAGTTATCTCTTTTTTTATTTCATACTTTATACTTTATCTACTTTTGTCAGGCTTTCTTAATATTAACTTGTACAGTATATTTCCAGTTTATTATTAGGATATTTATTATTATTATTGATTTTACTTCATTTCTTTTACACGTGTGAGGCTTCCCACTTTGTTTTTTGTCAGTAGTTACAGAGGTTTTCTTTTTCTTCACTGTTTGAATTTTTGCATTCTATATGCTCATGTATCATCAAAAATCCAGAAGTAAGGTAATTGGGAGGTGAGGAGGGTGACTAATTTTACCCTTAGTATGAATAAAGATTTATCTGATGAAAACTATCATGTGTTGTAATATAATATTTGACCATGTGGTCCCATTTTTTGTAATAGTTAATGTTAATTGAACAGTGTACACATACACATGTGGATATTTTATATATATATATTCGTCTAGCAACAAGTGGGGTGAAGCTGTTCTATTTTGGCAGGGGCTAAATGTTTGTTTTATTAACATCATAGTTGACTATATTCTCAGTAGTTTCCAACACATTATGTGAACGTACTGTAGGTAAATACAGATTTCAATTCTGACCAATCACAAAATTGGAGGCAAAAGCACAGATTCAGTATGAGGTCATACATTGTGCAGCTGAAAATATAGGTACAGTTTGTTTTTTATCATCACTATGCAGCTAATGTTTTTCAACTATTCTTCAGTATTTGAGTATAACTTATGCAATATCAAAGTGACTGCTGGAATCTTTTTTGCCTTGAGATGTAATGAAAACAGACTGGCATGACTGTATAAATGATTATTTATGGGCAAAATTTCCTTACAAAACATACTTGACCCTCTTGTAAATGTTTCTGTACTTTTGAGAAAAATTTTGCTTAGCATTTCGAACCCTTTTTAATAGATATTACATTTTCTTAATTAAACCTCTGGCCATGTGGACTTAGACTTTTTGACTAGGTTTAAAATGCATCCAGAAACACTGCTGCTATGACGGTACTACGTATTTTGATAGCAGAATATGACTTATAGGTTACTCTTATTCAGCCACGTTTTCTGTTCAGCACTTCTTAGCTGAATAGCCTTTAGGTAAATGTGTGTATCCGTGTATCATATGTCTAAGTACAGTATTAGTTACAAGTCAGATTCACATGTAGATTGAGAATAAAAAGATACTGGTAATTGAAGATAAATGCACTTGTAATTTAGAAAGAAGCCACTCAGCTATACATAAACATTTTTCTATAATTCAGTAATGTTATGAACTTTCTCAGCTCATTGACTGGCAGTGTGTTGTTTGACAACAGTTTTAGCTTGTCATACTTATCATGATGCAAACAGTATATGTATATTAAATTAATAAGATATATAAGCATGAAATCAACAAATCATATTATAGAAATCCCTGCTTAAATAGTTTCTTTTTCTCCTTCCTGTTCATGTAACATTATAGAAATTCCTACAACCTTTACAGGAATGATTGAAACTAGATGCCTAGTCTTCTCCACTAACACCCCACCTTACTGTCCCTTTTGACTTGCAGAGTCATGTATGGTTGTGAGGCATTAATAAACATTTTGCATGATAAAAAATTGTTTTTCCGAAATAATAAAATAATGGCTCATAATAAATATATTTTTTTGGTATTTCTGGAAAGCAATATTTTAAACCTCTTCTTGGTAACAAAGTTGTATTTTCATTGAATTTAATTTTATGGACCTATATGTTACCTAGATTATACAGTTTGTTTGATCTATAGCAAAGCTACTAGAGCTATATGCCACCATCCCTGATTTTGAACTGCCAGCTAGAGGGAAGGTAACTGGTTAGCAGGATCCATTGCCTACTCGTGAGCTACCCTTTTAGTAACAAATAGTAGGATTACCTGTGACATTGTAATGCCCCTATAGTTGAAAGAATTAGCATCTTTTGTGCCTGGTTTTGATCCCGTAACCTGCAGATTGCGAGTTGAGTGCCCTAACCAACAGGCCTAAGGGTAAATGTAGAGTAAATCCATTTCATGAAGGACAAACACAGGAAAAATAATCTACATTTAAGAAAAGTTTCAGAAAACTGGTACACAAAACTCAGTACTTGAGTTTGTTTTCTCTTGTAACTTTAATACTAGCATTGACAAACTTCTTATTTCAGCTGTTTATAACTATTTATAAAAAAACCACAATCCAATATTAAGACTCCATGTTTTTATGTTGCCAAGTTAAATATTTATATTTGGTTTCTTAAAGTTGTCCATTTCTATTTCTTTAATATTCATGACAAATACAAAATTATATGTTACATGCTTACTAGGAAAGCTGGTTTCAAGGGGACTGTATATATTAACCTTAATATATATAATTAAAAGAATAATGTGTGTGCGTAAGAGCTTTTTAAATTTCATTGAACTATGCAAAAATGAAATAGGAGTAGGGAAGTACAGATGATGTTACCATGTGTGTAAGAATGGGGTGGGTGTAGATAGTACTATGCATTGCAGATGGTCAGATATTTAAGGAATGGATCTGACATCCCTCAAAGCTCTATCTCATACAGCAGTGTTTATGTGTTAAGATTTTTTGTATGAATTTCTTCATTTGTTTATAGCCACGTAGAGTAATTTTACCCTGTTGAGTTTTAATATTTGTCTCCAATACCCAGGTTTTGAAAGTGTTGATAGATCTGGCATCTTTTACTAGATAAATCAATTGAGTTTGTAATTTTTTTTATCAGACCATTTGGCTCAAAGTGTCTTTTGTACTAGAGATGTTTGGTGGGTATTGTATGTTGTGGAATAGATTTAACCTTGCAGTCATTGAGATGCTCCATACAGATTTGTTCAGAATTCTAAGTAACTAATGTGATAGGTGAGTAGTCTAGGCAGGTCACTTAGCTGTTTTAATTACTGTAAATTCTCAGGACTGCCTTTACATTTATATAAACTTTGTGCATTCAAATACAAAATATCACAACTAAAAAATAATATTTCATATGTGAAGCATGAATTCTCCCCTAGTAAATATTAAAAACTTGTGTGAAAAGTCAATAACATTTTGATTTTGTTTCAAATGTCATTTGAAATGTAAAGTTTTATTTTCAGTTCAGTTGGAATTTTATAAATAATGATGCTAAAGTGTTACAGCACTCATAAATTAATAAGCTGAAATAAACATTGTAGCTATCAGATGAAAATGTGCTGTTCAAATATCTAGTGCTTTTATCTTTATCCATAGATATTGAGTGTGATTGTTACATTTGGTTAGCATATTTGATCTTGTAGTCTCTCTGCTAATGTGACTTAATTGACGGAAAGTTTTTTTTGGAACTTGAATTTCTATTATTTGCTAATTTTGGATGAAATACAACATATTTATATATTTCATATTTAATGGTACAAAAACAACTGTATATATATATATTCATGTACATATGTATTATGAATACTAACATTTTTTCAATCATAGTCAAATAAACATAAGTGTAATATTAAAGTCCTTAATATGTGTTTATTCAGTGTAGGTAATAATAATAACAATATTAAGGTATGGAGATAATTAGCTTTTCCTCTGTATATTTTCATAGCCAGTAACATTGTTCAGGTGATAATTTAGTCACTTAATTTTAGGCTTTTGTTCACAACTGTGTTGTTTAACCTATATTATTAGTAGCATTTCCAAGTAATTGGTTGAAAAATTAACATATAAATCAGTTCCATGAAACTTTTACAAAAGTATAATCCAAATAACATGGGTTTTCATTTTTTGTTTGGCACTAAATGAAAATATTGAGTTCCAAAGAATAAGTCATTATACGCTAATAAGGCCAATATTAGACTGGAGATTTTTTTCAACATTCCTATGTATTTATCCGTTACAGGTTTTATATAAGAGAGATGTAAAAAGAGGTGTGTGAAGAAAAAAAAAAGAAAGAAAAAATGCTGTTTAATTCTTTCAGTATGATTTTTGTATCACTAAAAATAGAAATAATGAAAGTACACATAAATGATCTAGGATATACCAAAAAAGACTGGAGTGCCAGGTTCAAAATATCTTTATGGGATGATATAAGGGTCCAACCAGTCCTACACAAACACATACTGAGATAAGTATAACTCAACAGTACTGAAAGGATTAATGGAATGTTTTTTACCTCAAATATTAGGCCCTTTGATTAATTTGCTTGTCATGAAACATTAGTATTAGGTTTAAAATGTTTTTTAACATTATTTTCTATATCTAGTGTCTTAGGGATTTTCAAGAATTAGAAAAGTGTACATTAACAGTATTCCAACCACATTATGTTTGTCGTATTCATTGTCAACAACACGTTTTGCTAACTCAAAGCTCTTCAGGCCAGCTGAAACACAACAAACGTAGTAATTGTTGGGACACTATTTATATAAACCATTTGTTACAACAGAAACAAAGCATGATTATAATTAATTTACTTGTCATCAGACCTATTATATTTTTAACATTGCAACCTGTCTCTTGTCTCTTGGGGATTTTCAAAAATTGGAAGAGTTTATAGTAATTGTATCCCTTTTGGTTTACCATGCTGCACAAGGTTTTGACCATCTGAACTTTGACTTTTGCTGTACACTACTGACACATCTTTTCAATACCACTAAAAAGGTTTTTTAGAATGTTATTTACTAAACAAATGTCTACAGTAAAATACGTATTCTTTCTTATTTTAATTCTGTATTATTAACATAAAATGTTTCTTTTTTTTTCTGCTTTGCTCAGTTTGAAATGTCTATTGTAATCCTTAATTTATACCAAAGGCTGGTAAAAGTGGTGAGAATATGTGAAGGATACAAAATAAAAGTTGAAATAGTTTAGTTGGAGGTTATTCTTTTTCAGCATGTTGGACGTATAACAATTGAAGTGTTTGCACGTTATTTATAAATAGACACCAGTATTGTATATGTTCTGTGCAATTATGTGTGTTTATGTTACCGAGTACATAGTTAGATTTTTTTAGGTTCATTCAGATGCATGTGGAGGATGTATAATTTAGAAAAAGAAACTGCCACTAAAATATGACTTTTTTAAATTATTCTATTCCCTTTCAATTTAAATTATTTTTTATATTTTTTAGCACTCAATGATTTACTTCTTTCACCATTTTGAACTTCCTTCAATTCTACAACAAGAGGAGGGTGACCAGATTTATGGGCAGGTACCCCCTCCTGTGGATCGATTGCCTGCTGCTGTAGTTAATCCAGTAGGAAATGATGAACAAAGAATGCCAGAAGAGGGTGGTAGTGGAGGTAGCCCTAACTTTGGAGGAGAAAATCATGAAGACACGGGTGTTGTGCCTGCACCAACATCAGCTGCTAGTTCTAATGAGGTAAATGACAATTCAATGTGGGGATACCAGCCTCTAGTGAAGGAAGTAATAATACCGTCCCACCAGCAGAAGGAAGGCTAGAGCTTGAAAGCCATAGTATAACTACAGAGAGCAATGAAGGTATTTCATTAGAAGCAGCTTCGTCTTCTTATGAAAACTCAGTTTCAACAGAACTGACAGATAGTGTTGACACTTCACATGCAATGGATCTCCCAGAAGTATCTGAAGAAAATATTATTGTTTTAAAGCATGTAGAGGACTCTAAAAATGATAATCCAAGTAACAGAGAGGAAGAAAACTATGTTAACTTTAATTCTAATGAAAATACAGAAAAATTAAATTCAAATTCATATACTGAATTTGAAAACACCTGATTAAATAAACTGCAAAAAGTAAAAAAAAATACACACAGATATTCATACACACACACACATATACACACTAATTTTGAAGGGAAAAATAAATAAAAAGCCTTACATTTTTGATAGAATAGAAAAGCCATTTATTTGCTGATGTCGTAAGGCTAAACAACATTTCATAGAAGAAATGTATTATTAAATGAGCCTAAAAAATTAGGACATAGTTACTTAAAATGACTTGTGTAGCAAGAAATACAGATCCATTTAAAGATATTTTTCTCAGTAAAGATGATGCTATGATAATTCTGAAAGTCCAATATGATGAATCTGTCATTTTCTAAGTCTCGTTTTAATATAGAAACAAATATTTTTCAACTTTCTCGTCCACAAAGATGTAAATCTTTTTTTTTTTCTTGATTATAATTCATCAATTTTTTTGAAGTAAAACTGTGTCCACTATTATTTTTGAACTTTCGTCTCGTTAAAAGGGGTGGGTTAATAGAGATTAGTATAGCTTTAATAGATTTTATTTAATTTATCAATGTTTATTACATCATTAATAATCTTCTGCATGTGCTTTTGGGATGGTTTTTTTAAAAAATGAGATATCTATATGTATGTATGTATGTATGTATAATATATATAGAAACAAATGTGACCAGTATATATTATGATCTGTTTTCCTTCTGAGCAAGATAAGATATTGTAGATATGCCAGTGTATACTTACTTGAATGGTTGGTATTTAAATTTGTTTAAAATAAATAAAGATTTTTGAATGGGACTTTCTTGTGGTAAAGAATGGTCTAGTATCTGTCACTTCAAAGTGAGAATTCCTAGACACTTTGCATATATATTGGTGTGAATTTTAACTTTTGAGAAATACTCAAATTTAGCCATAATACCTTCAATATGTTTCAAAATTTCCTTTTAAGGTTTTGATGATGGGCCAGCTATGGAAATTCAAGTGAATGTAATGAGTATGCTTTTGTATATGTTACATAACAGTGGGGCACATTCCTTGTTCTTTTTTAAGTTTAGCCCCTGACATGCCTGAATTAAGCATTTTTGTGGAATCTCTATTATACTCTTAAAAATTCATACAAAAATATTAAAAGCACTTGCCTTTTATATTGACAAATTACTCCAAAAAAGTGCTTTGTGACAACAAAATGAATGGAATATTTGTAGAAGATTATAGTACAATCTATATGTACATGAAAAAGTTTACGTCAAGTTACCCACTTTTCGAGTTATCCTTGACAAAGTAATTGTTATCAGTTATTAGATGCTACAGGTTCTGATGAACAATAACTTTAATTTTTCCAAAAACCAATAATTGTTATCTTTTAAAACTTGAATAACATTGGAACAAAAGTAAGTATGTTAACCAATAAATCGGATATCTTAAAATTATTTTTACCAAAATGTATCATAAAAAAAGACATTTTTTAATTTCAGGCCTATCGGTATTTAGTATTCAGAGATTTTGTGGGCATGATGTTTTATTAATAAAACAACTTGGTTCCAAGTTATACACAGATTTGTTTGAAAAAATATTGCAACGGTATATTCATAAAAAATTATGCTATAACTAACTGTCATAAAATATGGTAATTTTACTACCTTGAGTCGAACATAAGCATAACTTTAAAGGTAAGATAATAATTGAATAACATAATCGCTGCAGAACTGGCCAGAAAAATCATATTGGTGTAATAAAGTTGAAAACAGCACTCATAATTTACGTTTTTTCCTCTTATTTATAACACTGATTGTTTAAATTTATCGCGCTCATCAGTAGTGTAGTTAGTACTAGTAGATCCACAAACTATACTTTTAAAATACGCAGCTTTCATATGTGGGATGATTTGATTATGCTCGTGTTTTTCATATATGCATACTTGTATAAGCTTTTGTCAGAGCCAATAGTAATTGTTTTGTAATTAAGGATTAATTTTAGTCACTGAACACTCTTTCTACCAGGAATTTGAAAAGTATTTTTTAAATATAAGTTTAAACATATTTCTTATGCAAGCGTTTTTCAATCGGTAGCGTACGAACGACAATACAAATCTATTAAGGTAAAACAGGCCTACTGTCATCTCTTCTTTAATTTGATTACTAACCTTCGCCAACAAAGCAGAATTGATATTTGTAAGTTTGTTTAATGCAAACTGGAGCTTATTACGATACGTTTGGAGATATACATTCTGGAGATATAGGTCGTGAGTTTATTTACGTTTATAGAAAAGCATAATTGATTTTTACGACGTTTGTAATTCGTGATTTTTGGCTATTAGTATTAAACAATGTCTCAAGTACATAATAAATAAGAATATATTGAAAATTGTTTGTAGTGTCATGTTAATTGTTATAAAGTTGGATTTTGGAGACAGAAACAAATAATATAAAAAGTTACAGTATAATATACTTATTAAAGCATATATTTATTTGGCAATACGTTCTAGGTAAGGTGTTCTTTTCAGGTGAAATATATAGTTAACCGCATGCGCGACAAAGGTATCGAAATTAAAGAGTAGGTTAAACAATCGCAAAGTTTTTAAATAGTTTTACTTTAAAAAGATGACGTTTCGAGTCAGCGCTCTTCGCCAGATCGTACATCTTACAACAAATTATGTGATCTGACGAAGAGCTTTAGCTCGAAACGTCCTTTTTCAGGTGAACATGCACAATTCTAATATACCTGAAGACATGAAAACCTATTGCACCAGACATAAGGAGGAAGATGTACCAGTTTTTAAACTTTACAGAGAAGATTGGAGGATTGAAACCATGTTTACAAAAAACGACTAATCACACTCCAGAAAAAAAAAACCCAAAACATTTAATTTAAACTCGACGTTTCGGCTTACGACTTTCTCAAGGATTACAGAGTCGCATACAGATACAAACTGATAATTGAAAAGGGCATATAAAATAATTAAAAACTGACTTAACAATAGTA